TCCCTACATAATCTGTTCTCTTGCCTTTCTATCCTTACCATTGGCAAGTTTTTTCAATACCTGGTCTAAATCTCACTGGTAAATAAACTGGTGGGCAAAAATGCATTATTTTCCATTTGGATCTGCCTCATTTGTGGCTCCTCAGCTTTCTCTGGCATTATTTTCCCACACCCAATTTTAATTTGGTCCAAAGGCTGGCAGTGGCTAGAAGTTGTTCAGACTTTCCACACCCAATTCACTTACTCCTTTTTCTCCTCCAATGCTTCCAGGTGACTCTCCTGCTGTACGACTCAACCAGGATGAGGCAGCTGCTTTCCAAGTCTGTTGTGATTGATGATGATGACGATGATGAATATCCCTGGAGGCAGAATGCTCACAAGTACTACATCCATCTAACCCTCAGCCTTTTCCTCTTTCTCTGGTTCATTCTTGGGAACTACTGGGTTTTTTCTGTGTACCTGCCAAATTTCATCCCACCTTTCCATCAGCCTCAGGATTACTGTGACAAAACTCTGTACATTTTTGCTGTTGGTGTTCTCATTATTAGCCATACTGTTCTCTTTCTCCTTATCTTCTGTAGCTGCTGCATATATTGTTTTTCCAGGCAAAGATACTCTTCTGAGGAAGACTAAATGCCACATAAATAGAGCCCCAGATGTTTGGGAAAGAATGTACAACAAAGAGCAAGCAATAATTCACCCTTGTGTACATCTTTGTTGTACTATATACATGTATGATAGCAGTCAAGTGCAAAAGGAAATTGTAAAACAGTGCCATCTGGAAACAGCTAAGCTGGAATACAGCACAGACAATGTAAAATTGCTGCTACAGATGCCAGGGTGCACTTTTGCTAACTACTGCATTCCTGTTTTAACTCTCAGATATTCTGTCTGGAGTAAGCTCTTGCAGATGACAAACTCTTCTGAAACCAAGTCCCCTTATGTTGTTTCAGCATAGTAAATCTTTGCCTACAAAAGTAGCCATGTTGCACTTTTCACCGGTGTCTGAACATCTCTGTAGCTTTGCTGAGGCATGTCACTGTCCCTGCATTACAGGTGAGGGAGCTGAGACAAAGAGATAAAGGGCTGTATTCAGATGGCCTTGCATGACACATGGACTTTGACAGTCACTTAGATGCCCCCCATAACGCTACTCAGGCCATTGTTGGATCAGCCAGGAAGCAGATATGATAGCAATATGAGCGTGTATAAAAGGCAGCCTGAACATGGCCCCTAGGTCTCTTCTGAACTTGGATTAGAAAGCATCTATCTCTAACTTTGGTGCTAAAACAGACAGTTTGAATATATCCATATATATCAAATACATCCAAACTGAAGCAAGACCACTTTGCAAGTCTGGCAGAACAAGAAACTGAGCTACTGAGTTTCAGATCAGTGCTTTAACCAGAGCTCAGCATTCCCCAATCTGGGGAGACTCCACTTTTTGTGGAACAGTCATCTGTCAATACAACATGAACACAAAGATGGTTGCCAAATCATTGTAATAAAATTCATAGAAGTGATCATGTTATGTTGGTACTTGTAATATAAAATATGATAATAAGACATGGGCAAGGATCTGAGAATTTCCGGAGGACATGTTCACTGCAGCAGTTCTCTGGTTGTGATGTGAATGTACGTTTGATTTGTTCACCTTGGTGCTGTACATATGGAAGTCTGTACTTAATGGAGAGATGTCATGCAACAGCTTTTAAGTCAACAGCAGTGTCAGCTTTAAAAGCACCAGCATGCACAGAGACAATTGTTTTGTGACATGTAGTGGAACAAGTCCATAACTGGTCCTCGTAGATTGTTTTTTTTTCATGTGTTGATGAATGCAGTGTAAAAGTGCTCCTTCTGCTTTTGCTCTGATGGACTTCTGTTAATATGGTTAAAATGGAGGGGCTCCCCTCTATACAAGCATGAGGGTGGCCCCAGGCACAGGAAGAGGATGTGTGTCTTGGGTATTTTTCCTGTTAAAATCTCCACAGCTGAAACCTGTGTTTTGGAAGCAGAAAGAATTATACTATGACTGTGGGTGAGATCTGTAAAAGAACCTCAACAATACGAACAGCTCTGCACAACCATCCTTCCTGAGACTGAAGCTGAACACAGTGTAACATCTGTGGGAACCACCTGTCTTCAACCATTAACATTTATTGCAGGGGCTACTCTATGGATAACTGAGGGTACATTTGGTCGGCAGGGATTTTAATTCAGGCCTTGGCTTTTAGAACTTTTTCTTTAAAAAACCCCACAACCCTAATATTAGAAAGAAGGTATGATAAAGGGTGAAAGAATCTGATGAGAGGACAGTATCAGTGTAGCACTCCTCTGCTCTGCAGCCCCTACTCAGGAGAAGTCATAGTCAGGCTGTCCTCACTCAGAAATCCATAGAATGGGAATTACTAATACTGCTGGCTGACTTAGGCCATGCATAGTAGTAATGTAGGGATGTATGATTAATGGAAATCTGTTCTTTTATTCGTGGGCCTCAGGTTGTGTCTGGGAGAAATCACAGGCTGTGCTTTCCCATGAGCTGCTCCACTCGATGCTTTCCACTGCCTCTCCAAAGGTACCACACATTTCTGAAGCATAACTCCTGCTAATGGTGGAATGCTAGAATTCCTCCTTCCCAACCTGAATACTTCATTGGCTCAGCACTTGGGCTCCTGAATTTCAATGCTCAATTCTGAACTCATCTAAGTGATTTTACCTTCCGTGGAGAGCATCCTTCATTCCTTAGGATGCAGAAGTATTTAAGAAATTGCGTATCAGCGGGGGTAACTCCATCCATCACTTTAATGCAACAAAACAGCTGCTTATCATTACAAATGAACTTTACCCTAAAGCTTGGAACAGGTATAAGAAAGAAAATTATACTCAGCTGATAGAGCACAAGAAATTTAACTATAAAGTAGTGACACACTCCATCTATTGACTCCCATACAAATTTACCCTGTCCTTGCAAAATGCCACTAGAATCATTCTTGATCATAAAGAATGAAGGGCTCATACTCCTCATGAAGTTTGAATTGTTTCCCATGTCACTGTGCATCCAGTGACCTTGCAGCAAGTGATGATGTGTGTGAGCAAATATCTGAGGTGAATTTAATTCAGCCTGGAGCAGAAGAGAAGTGAAGTCATGCTGCCTTGCATTTTTTTGCCTGTGTGAGCCTAGTTACAGCAGCTCAGCAGATGTGCAATGATTTATCAAACTCCAGCCACACAGCAGTAAGCCTGAGGCCTGTCTCCCATTAACAAGAGGCCAAGAGTGACTGATTCCCTACAGGCTATCACAGCGGGTTGATTCTTTAGGTATGAAAATCCAGTGCATTCATTGGTATCTTGGGAAAGTGCTGTGAAATCACAGCACTAGTGTTCAGTACCTGGCTGGCACAGATGCAGAATGACAGAGGAGATATTAATGGAGAAAAAGGCACTTGTGAGATACTTCGAAGTTGCACAGAGTGTACAAAAAGCTTCCTTAGGATTGGGAGAGGAAAATTCTGAATTGATAGTATTTACCTTTACTTCTGTACATCAATAATCTATGGCACATGCAAGCATGAACATCAACGCCTCCCAGATTACTGAAGCCATTGATTCTGTATCCAGAGAGATAGGAGCTTGCCTTCTGCACTTTCACTGCTGCTGCCTGCTTCATCAGGCTGGAATCATGCAGGTGTGGAGCAGGGACATCTGGTTTTGGGCATGTGATTAAATACAACTGAGTTAGTGACTTCCTGAGTTACCACTCTTCTCCTGACCCACCACCAGCCAGCAGCAGTTTCTCTTGGGTTGCTCCAATGGCTAAATAAAACACTCAGCTCATGCCCAAATGAAAGTCATTTTGTCTAAGGCACTTTATCTCACTTTGGGGTAAGCTATGAATATGTGCATGGTCCACAGCAACTTAACTTGCAAGCAGTAACTTTTTTAACTGCCACAAACTGATCATGTCTCGGATACATGCTCAGTCCCTGGAGGAGTAGGTATAATTCCTCAACAAACAGCTGTGGGGGAATTAAGTCATTACAGCCCAAAGGTTGTAGGACTGAAAACAATCTATACTGTAGTATGAAAATGTTCAATATTTTGCCACTAGCCTGAAATTACAAATTGAAATTTTTTCTTTTTACAGTAATATCTGGAAACTGGACAAAATATACCCTTAAACTAATTATTATGAACTCAGAAATGTGTTGACTACAAGGCAGGAAACCAGCTGTAACCATTCCAGTCAAATAATCTCCCCTTGTTTAGAAAGCAAGGTCTATCTCTAGCTTTTAAAGGAAAAAAAATGTGCATTATTTCAATGGATTAGATAGTCTGCTCACTGCTAGTTGTGAACACTACAGAAATTCAACAATATAAAGGCAGAAAGACATTTATGCATGCACACACAAACTGTAGACATGTACATCTGAGAAATGCGATGGCAGCAGCCATGAAATAAATCCCACTTATTACAGTTTATCACCTGCAGTCTATTTATCCTTCCACTGCTCTACCTTCTTTAGCTATCGGTATAATATTGCAAAGCTTCAAGGAGCAGATTCCCACAGATACTTTAAAAGCTGCAGCCAGACAGCCAAGTGTTTTGTTCCTTCATTCCAAGTGTTGAACACTGACAGCTCCTACCTGCTGACCCAAAGAAGAGAGGAATATGAGCATCAAACATATCACAGACCTTATCTCCTCAGAAGCAGAAACAGGAACACTGTGCTTTGGAAGAGAAGTAGATCTCTTTCACACAGTACTTGCTCTGATCTTTATGAGGTCCTAGAAATCAGACTTAAAAACTACAAGGTGACTGCAGAAAAAAATAATGAAGCCAATATATACTAGGTTATGTAAAAAACTGTTTTGATTGTCTCAGGTCCTGAAATGTGAGCAGTTGGTGTAAATGAGCCTAAATGCTTTGACTTTACACATCAAGGGCTACAACGATTAAACCAGTGATAACTTGCATACATTGTACAACACTCTAAACCAGTTCAGTTTCTGCATGTTATCTTGAATCTTATCTAGGATTATTCATCTTCCCCAGATTCTAGTTGATGCAGACTTCGCATCATGATGAAGGCCCATGTATCTCCCACATATAATATAGAAAGGATTGTTACATCAGGACTGCAATTTGAAATTATTGCTTCTTGGCTTATATTTCTTGATGTTCCTGTTCACTACTGGAGTACATGAAAGTCCCACAGGTGCTAGCCACAAAAGGAAATAGTAACCATTTTTACAAAGTGTAATATTTGAGGGAAAATAAAAAAGGCTGACAAGTACAATCTGATACTGCATAGTACAAGAAAACAAAGTACAAGAAAGCTGCAATAAAGAATGTTGTAAGGCAAAAACAGGTTTCTGAGAA